GAGAGAGAGAGAGAGAGAGAGAGAGAGAGAGAGAGAGAGAGAGAGAGAATGAACAGCAAATCCTTTCGGATTAAGTAAATAAAATAAAATTGCAGTGAATTCTTTTTTCAGTCAGTCAAAGTATTAATGCCAAAAAAATTTCGTTCAGAGCTTTTTTTATCTAAATAATGTCGCAATTTTTTTTCTTTATTCTTTCTTCATTAATAAAATGAACAAAGTAAATCTCATCATCATCATCGGTGTTTCTGAGAGCGAGAAAAAATGTGGGCACTCCCTCGTTCAGCATCATAAAAACTAAAAGACATAGTTGAACGAAAAAATGCAAACAAGCAGCCGTATCAACAGCAGCAAACAAAAAGTATCTCAGGCTAAAATTGAAATTGAAAATTATTGAGATAATGCGAATCCATAAAATGAAATGGATTTTTATATATTCGGTTTTTATTTAGTTGTTTATGTGAATTCACGAATCACAGATTGTGTACGCGGCGCAACACACATCTTCTCCAACCGATATTGTCCCATAAAGGATCAACTCATATCACACATTGGTAATATGTAAACGCGGAATATATAAGATGAACTTGCCTGCGACACGGCAAAGTCCATGGCACATCATTATATTCTACGACTCTATGAAATTCCTTTTCGCCGTCCACGAAACGAATGAGGAATGAGGAAACGAACGAGAGAGAGAGAGAGAGAGAGCGAGAGAGAAAACGCACACCAAACGAAAATATATAAAATAAAAATCCAGCCAAAGAATCAGAAAAGATTCAAACGCCGACGATATTTTAAAAGCGTTGATTATGAATCGAACATTAATAGACACGTCCATATCGAATATCGCATGTTAGTTGCTTTTATGACACTCGAACAGGTTTTTCCGCGCTCAAAGGGCATCCAACAGAATAACATATTCTCGGTGTGTGCCAGTGTGCGTATACTTTATAGCCGACAATGTCTATCGTTTATCCAATCTAATTGTTTTGAAATGTGTACGCATCGTATGCGCACACATCTATGCACAAAATTGAAATCACATCGATTGTAATTGCTATGGGCAATTCAAGGGTATTCAGTTTTTTTCTCTCTCATCAAATCCATGGATTATAATAAAAAGTGAATCGGTTTTTGGAGACGAAAATAGGAAAAATGGAGAAAAAAACATAACATTGTAGAATAAAAAAAGGATGGAATAAAATGCACACACACTAATGCAATTTAATCTCTGTTCATATGCGTTCATACAACACACCTGATACGCGAAAAACGTATTTTTAGAACGATATCGAACAGAACGAAATGGACAGGCACGCATGCCCACATTTTCAATCCGTATTATATTACAAAGCAACAAGATTATAAATTCTTCTTTTTTTTTGTTGCTGTTGTGTATGCAAAGCATTTTGCAAATGTTTTGATGTGTTTACCAGCACGAATTATCGATGCTGTGTGCTCACCAAAATCGAAGCACTACGAATATAAAAATATCAAATTGTTGGCCGTTGATGTTTCTCTTTCTCTCGGTTCATTTTTTTTTCTCTTTTCGTCGTTGTCCACATCAACGATCGTTGTTGTAAAACTTTGGAAAAAAAAGCGAGGTGACAAGAAAAAAATGGTAAAAACACACACAGTGAGAGAGTCAGTCACCAAAGAACAAACTGAATCATGTTCAATAAGAATGGTGAAAGAGACCGAGAACGTTGAGAAGAGAAAAAAAGCAATGCGAATCCGCAATAACAGTCGAAAGATACCCTGAACCGGACACCTGAAACGTTATTAATTTACAAATTTATCGCTTTTTGAGGCAAAGTGCCAAAGTAGATATTAAATCGTTAACATTTTATTAATAGAGTTGTGTTGTCACATGAAGGAGAAACATTTTTTGTTATAAAATGTGCGTGCGCTCTTTGTACAGAATCAATTCAACACACCATTTAGCTGAGATTTCATTGGTGCGCCTCACATATTTGGATTGAATTACTACCAGTTTCATGGCCGGACACATAGACTCTCTAAAACACAAATTAGATTACTATCAATGTCTCTCCTAGTGCAAAGTACATCTTGCAATCTTTTTTTTTTCTTCAAACCATACATGCATCGAAATTTGTCAGTATTGCTCGCGCACGAGATAACCTCTACACCAACATATCATATCAATGAGTATCACTTTTCTACATTCCATACATAAAAATGCGATTTTTCTTGACTTAAATCGACTCCGAGTCTCACAGAGCTACGAAAAGTCGGGAAAAAGTATATATCAGTGACCGGTTCATGCATATTTCTATGCTTGCCTAAATACGCTAGGTAGCATAGATATGCCAAGCATAGCCGCAAACGCAACCGACGCATCGCCGTTCACTCTATATGAACAATACACATGTTCGTTTATGCAGACGACCGTGCGCATACAATATAGCTCGAATCGAATGGTAACGGGTGCGTTGCGGCTTGCGTCTCCGCTATGCTTAGCATAGCTATCAGGCATAGAAATATGCGCGAACCGGTCACTGGTATATATTAAATGGATTTTTATGTCTAGTGAAAAATAAAGTGCGTTCAATAAACCATCGTTTGTGATTATACTATACAAATTCTTGGAATGTTACGATGTCTACAATGCATTCTATATTGTTGCACGATATCGGTAAATCCGCTTCAATAGAGATAAAAATTGGATTGGGAACCGTGACCATTGATTGTCAAATAAATATACGCATTATATCTACGCAATAATCTGCGGACACATCTCTTTTAGAGCGGAACCATTCGAATCTTCCAGAGCATAACATAATCATGTCATGCAATCGAATTTAAAAACTAAAGCACCGCACATAATCAGTTTTACTTTGGACATCATTTACGGAAGTCGTACATCGTTTGGTTGACAGTTTTCTTCACTCTGTTCATGTGAGCCAATTGGTTTTTTATTTTATTTAAGTTTTATCATCAAAGTTCGATAGCTAAAGACTCCGAAAAGAAAAACCATTATGTTTTTTTTTTTATTTTTCCAAGTGATTTTCGTATTTTTCGTGGTAATTGATAATAAAAAATCCAATTTAATTTAATGTAGGTTTGTTGCAACCATTTTTGTCATATTCTATTTGCTGAAATTATTTGGTGACAATGCCGAAAACTGGCCGAAAAGACGTCGCAAATACCGAAAACTACCCAGAAAATCCATGCGTTAAACGTCCTCGTAAAAAAGAGAATTTCTCCGAAGGTGAGTATTGTGATTTCCAATATTTTGATCGATTGAAATCTAGAAAAATGGAAAATTCTTCTATTTTCAGTGAAAGTTTGTTTGACAAAGCCCAGCAAAGAGATGTTGCAAAAATGTTCAAATTATTACGAATTCTTTAAAGATTAAAAAAATTGATTATGTTTCGGTTTATTTCGAACAATTTACGGATTCTCAGACTGTGTTGTATTTTTCCATCGAAATTTAACATAAAGTGTTTCAAATTAATCAAACAATAAATTACATGTAATCGAGCATTTGATCGGATCGGAGGTGTTTTCATTTAATCTCTTCTCGACCTTTTCTGTATTCCATTCACATGAATGTTTTCAATTAAGAATGCGTTATTTCTTTGTTTCATTCGACCATGGAGTTGAATTTGAATTTAAAATTCTAATCGGAATTGTTGGTATGGTTCTGATTCGTTATAACATACAGATTGTTAGTCGAAACCGGGTGAAATATTTTAACGCCAGCAAATCGGATAGAGTAATGGGTGAATTATATCCAATTATCGATTGGTGAATGGGTTTATGTTTTCCCATGTTTATGGACAATCGAAGTAACAACAAAACGATTCGTTGCATCGAATAAAGGCAATTGTTGTTCGTATGGTCCAATTTGAGTTCACCAGTTGCATGTTGTACCTGTATTTGTCGTTTGATTCAGTCTTGGCCAATTATTTTTTACGATTCTAGTCAACAACATGGCGAGCATATACTTTTCACTTTCGCCGCATTGCAAAAGAGAAAACACCATTTCTAAGAGCTTTAAAACACCAAATAGAGTTTGCAAGATTGATATGCGTTCGTTACAACTTCACCACAACACCGATTAAATATGCATTGTCGTGAAATCGATTGATGGCTATCACCGTTTTTGATTACTTTGAAACCAAAACACAAATGCAAATTGTTTACGATTCTACAAATGCACACCAAAAGCCCGAGCACGGTTCAATGTCTATTGCTGATTTGAGAGGCGAAATGAAAGACAGAGACGCAGTTAGAATGAGCGTGTCGTTTTTGGAGAAGATAACGTATGATTATAAGTGCATTTTTTGTTGTTGTAAATGCAAATAATGAGGATATTTCGTTGGATTTAACCCACGTTATTTGTTGCAACAACTTTTATCAAATCATGAACTTGCTGCGATTAAGATCTTGGGCTCGGTTCGGTCGTATGCATTTCCTGAGTAACTTTTCAAATTAGAATTCAAGCTTTCAACAACTTGAACATTCAAATAATTTTCCATGATATTTCCTCATTGCTCAACTGCATTTCGATGTGAATGAACAGCAATGATAGAGAGAGAGAGCGAAATGGAAACAGTGCAGAAGTGAGGAGATTCACGATTTGCATAGAGTATGCAAACGAATCCTGGCTTTACGCAATGAATTGCCCATTCGGTTTCATAGTATCGAAGGAGTGAACGAGCAAAACAGCCGAAGAGATATGGTTGACTAACAACATGTTGAAATGACACATGTACAGCATTTTTAACAGTTCAAGAATCACAAGCATCATTATTACAAATGGTTTCGCATGCGTGTGCGCCATTCGATTCGAACACAAAACCATCCCAAATAAACGATCGTGCGACAGAATGCGATTGTGGAATTTCTCGTTACAATTTAATGGACCACAACACATACACACACCGAAAGCGAAAAAAATTCAACTCAATAATAATAATAATAATAGAATACAAACAGAACGGAATGGAAAAACAAATGTGATGGTTGCTATTGGTCAAGAGCAATTTAAAGACAAAACAAATGCTCATTTTGCTAATTTCCATTTAAAAAAAAGGAAGAACGAAAAAGAAACGCAAAATCGCAATTGTGAATTGATGTTGGTATCGAATAGTATTCGAATTGCATCATATTTCTGCTCTGGTTGAACAACAATTGCGGGAATTTGTGATAATTTTTTCACAGAACAAAAACAGAAGCGATTCATCCAATATTACAATTAAGCGACAGTTTTTCGTATGTATCGTACAAATTTTTATACAAATTTTGTATGTACGTGAACGTGAGACGCGTATTCTAATTCATAGAACCCGAAAAAAGCTGGTTGACTGAAGAAGCAACATCCAATTGTATGTTGTTGTTTTTTTTTTTTTTTGTTCTAAATCGAAATGGCAATACGGCCAAAACAAATGCACAATTCGAAACAAGCAAATCACTGATCAAAGTAAACACAAACGAAAAGCAAAACAGCCGAGCTATCGGGACAGAGAAAAAAAGCCCGTTGAACGATGTTGTCCAAAAGGATGTTGCAGCAGGAGAGAAAAAGAGAGAGAGAGAAACAGAAAAATAAGAATCATGCGCGCACGATAATCACTTATGCAAACGCAAAAAGAACAAAGGAAATTTCTCTAGCCGGCTATCGCCGTTTACATCTTTTAACAACTGTGCTTTATTAGCTATTCTGATCGAGTATCGTGTCTGCATGCACGGTTTTTCTTGTTTTGTGATTATATTGGATTGGATATATGTGTGTGTCGTCGTCGTCACCGTTTTTCTGTCGCTATGTTCGACTTTTTTTTTCTCAACATTGCCCGCGCTCGCGCACACGCTTACTGCAATTTTATCGCGATTCTATTTCAAAACATTTTTTTTTTTGTTGTGTTGAATGCGAGGCTGAGGCCGCGGGCACATACCAATTTAAATGCACACATGAATATCCTGTGAAATACGCGTAAATATTTTTAGATCAAGGAATACATATCAAGAGAGAGAGAGAGAGAGAGAGAGAGAGAGAGAGAGAGAGAATGGAATTGATAGAACACGCAAGCCATCGCCTATTCGTATCTCAACAGAGCTTAAGATTCCTTCAGACCAGAAACCGTTCACTTCTTCTACTTCATACTTTAATCTCTCTTTTTATGCCATGGAAGTGATTCAGCCGATCAATTCAACCAAAAAAAGCACAGACGAGATTCAGCGATGATGTACACACTGTACTTTAATGATCTGACTCTCTTGTAGAAAAATTCGCAATCAAATTGTGGTGAAGCGACAATCTTCATTTCGTTCGCCAAATACTTCACGTACGCAGATCAATAACAAATAGAAGCAAAGAATCTTCATAGTGCTGATGTATTTTGCAGCCGCGTAATGTATTCGCCACGGTGCTATTGCTGTGTATGTGTGGAGTACGAATTGATTGTTACATCTTTTTGGTTTGTTGATGGATTGTTTATTGTCGTTTTCGACAATGTTCGCTTACCCGAAAACAAAAATGAGCACAAGAAAAGTCAGGCGTTTTTTTTTACCACATACGCATTCCAAAATTTACATAACTTTACATGAAATTATTCTTGTGCGCGTACTCGTTATGCAAATCTAGTTTCGGAACGCATCAAAAAGCCATAAAATTAGCCATTGCAAGGATTTTTCTCTTTTTACTTTACATTGTCGTTTTAAAGTAGTTTCATTCTTCTTCAATTTTTTTGTTGTGTCAAGAGAGTTTTCGTGTCATTTTTTCGATTTAGAGCAGTTTTCAGAATTTAATTCTAAACATTTCCGCAGAACCAATCAATCTACTGGCAGTTTTCGCAACGTTATTCTTCGAAAAGAAGAAGAAAAAAAAAGAAGAGCCGATCTTACTCACTGTTCACTAATTGAATCAGCCAGCGTCACCAACTTTGTACATCGAGATGCATGCAATATTTAGATTAAATCAAACACTGCAAAATTTGAGTGGTTCTCGCGAAATTATTCTCTCTTTTTCATTACATTTATATGAATAAAATGGTTTGCAGCGCAGAAACGAAACGAAATAATAATAATAATGAGTGAAGAAGTGCATGAAATATAAAATATATACATTCGGTGAGCGAGAGATGCAGTAGCTGTATCGCAAAAATCGTGTGCAGCTGATACTAGATTGATCTGCTTGGGTTCATTAAATAAATCGTTGGCCGGATAATGAAATTAAGGAATAGAAGGTACAGCACACGTGTGCTTGCAACGAACGAACGATCGATCGATGAACAGAAATGAATGAGAACCGAAAAGCCGCCATATCCTATACGGTAACAACAGCAGCCGCCGTGCACAGCATCAGCTACAGCAACAACACACACACAATGTGCAGCAGAAGAGAAAAAAAAGGAATGCTGAGCCTGAAAATGAAATGCGAGTGCACACAGCGCGCACCATCAAAAATAACTTATTGCTTAACTCTCTTGCATTCTTCGAGTCTGTCTTTTGTTATATTATTATAATTATGTGTTTTCATTTGCGAATATCAAATCGGGTGCATTTTTTTTCTTCTTTTCTTTCATTCGGTTGGCAGTAAGTAACCCGTGCAACACACTGTTTGCCAAAAAGCAGTTTTGGCTTGCATAAATTGCAGAGATTTTAGCATTTATCGTATTTGTGACCAACAAAGAGGAAAAAAATATACGCACACAAACACGTATGAAACATTTTATACGAATGCCGTAACAAAATGAAATGTTCTACAAATATTCGAATTAAATTTATGTGAATTTCACACATACAGTCTTTCTCTCGCTCCTTTCCTCTCGTTCCCCCTCAGAACAGATGCTGCATTTGGCTCGTCTCGATATAGCACTTAAGAAAAACATTTAGTTTTGTACACATCGTTTTAACTTCATTGAACGAGAACTGAAAATTGATTCTGTATCAGGTCATTTCGGTATAGTATTTTTGGAGATTGTGTTTTTTTTTTAATTTCACAGAATTCATTGGAGAATTTTTTTTCGTTTCATTTCCGAAAAAAAGTTTGAACTGTTTTTCGTACCGTGAACAATTTAATTATTGTGTTAATTAATATTATTTTGAGTTGAATTTTTTTCTTTATTCACAACATTGGGTTTGTATCCATTTTAAATTTTGTTTTATTTTTACAATGGCAACAAAAATGATTATCAAAAACATCATTTAAAATGTGATCAATGTCAGTCAAAAAAATGCCATTTCTGTCTAACGGTTGTGCACTTAATCCGAAATATTTACACAACAATCGCGTTCGATGCATTGTAAATGATGAAAGAATGAGGGGCAATCCAAGAATCGGTGGTAAGAAATGATAATAACAATAATAATAATATGTAATAAAGGCAAAGAAGAAGAGTTCATAACCGGTGAAAAAAAAAATTGCAACGAACCGAAATTATGCACACAAA